ATTTAGAGTTCCAAAGGTCACCTTTGTCAACATTTATATCATGCCTAATCACAATTAGACGAATTTATATAACTTTTCAGAATGTCTGGATTATTAGTAAATAAGAGGATATTTACTGTATGCTTGTAAAAAAAGTATTAAATGCTTGTAGTAAGTATAAATTGTATCTAAATCTAAAAGCATTAAATTGGAAATTAAATATTGCATATAACTTGTGTGAATTTAATGTGCATCTACATTTTGTGCATGAAAGCAGGCAATCGTTAGATTTTAAAGTCAAATCAAATTTCTGAAATTATACAAGAATGATAGAATATTTGTACTTTTATTTCATTTCCAAAATAAATAAATAAATAAACTCATTCCCCCTTCTTTTCTGTTTGAAGTAGGTTATTATAATAAATGAAAATGAACAGAATGCTGCTTATAATTAACATTACTTGCATGGTTGAATGAAAGTATAAGAACAGCAGATGACTGTAAAGAAAAATAGAGTTTTTTTACAAATATTCAGTATATTAAATAAGTTATGAAATCATGTGACCTGATCACATAAATAAATGGCTATTGAAAATTAAGATTTTAATCTTGATGCCATGCAGGGTGGGAGCCATTATGCACAAGGATTTTAAATTTGGATTTGTAGAACTATTCGAGTGTTACCTGCTACAATTAAATTTTAATTTGGCATTAAAATTTTCAAATTAAATCTTGATCATTAAATATTAAAATTTGAAAAATTTCAGCCGATTTTCTTTCTGAGCCTTTTGTTACCTTGTCACAATGGGACAAGGAATTAATATTAAATAATGATGCAAGTGGTCATGCTATTTTAAGAGTTCTCGTTCAGGAGCTCAACAATGAATTGCATCCTGTGTTATACTATAGCCAAACATTATTACCAGCCGAAAGGAAATACCCTTCTATAAAACTAGAACTTTGTGTAATTTATCGGTCTGTTACTGCCTTTAAATCATATCTTTTTTATCTAAACTTTATTATCTTAACTGACAGCAAGCCTCTCTTGCATTACCAACCTCACCAACTGATAACACGACTTGGTGGCTCACAGAGCTAAGTGAATATACCTTCGAGTTTAAGCACACATTCCTGGAAAATTAAATTCTCTGACTGATTATGTAATCGTGATCACAATCAGCCCACATCAGTTGAGAAATCTGAAGATAATTCAATTACTCTTTCTTTTGTGGAAACAAATACTGAACCACTACAAGTGAATGCCCTCATTTCTTTTCAGAATCCTGCTCATGAAATTTCTGTCCACATTACTTACTGAGCAAAGTTCTGATACATATACTTCAGAAATTATCAATATTTTGAAAAATCGTTCCTTGCTTAATTCAGCAAATGTGCATAATTTTTTCATAAACAATTCAAATAAGCTTCTTATGTTTGTTTCAAATGAACAGAATTTTGCTGCATTAATTGTTGTCCCACAAGCACTAAAATCTAAAATGTATGAAATTTCTCATCTGTCCAATCTTGGCGTTATGAAATCTTAACAAAACGTTTCTTCTAGAAGGGTATGTATAATGACACAAAGAATTTTGTCCTCTTATATCATTTATGTAACAAATACTAATCTTTCACTCCTAAGCAAGGTCCATTTAAAGCTATCAGAATACTTAAATATCCAAATGACTAGTTTTATGGATATTGTTGGTCCCATACATAATTGAGGACATGTTCTCACTATTTCAGATAATTTTTCTAAACATCTTGTGTTATATCCTTTCAAAAATCTCCCTGCTGAAACTGTTACAGCATATTTATTAAAATATATATCTGTACATGGAAGACCAGAATTGATATTAACTGATTTAGGCACACAATTCAATTCAGTGGTGTTTGAATTGATTACCAAATGAATGGGCATTATAATTATCCCACTGTGCTCCTCACAGACTTCAGAGACTAAGTGAACATACTAATTATTCCATCAAGAGCTCTTTGCTTCATAAAAAAGGTATTTCATTTTAAAACACACAGCTTATCCAACAGAATAATTACAACAGTATTGTTCATCATTCAACAGGTTATTTTACTAATATTCTGTATTTTGGAAGAAATTTATCATTACTTTTTATATGTTTAATCCTGATCCAAGGCCAGTTCAGTTGTGTGATCTTTTAACACAACTAAAACTAAGTTATGAGCATGCACATGAGATGTTGGAAAGAAAGCATACAGAATACTCGTCAAATGAAAAATGCCGGGTCAAAAAGGGTTAAGAGGTGACAGGTGCACCTCATAATTTTCAAATTTGAAACTTCCTTTCGACCTGACTTTTGCATGATTAAAATTTAACTATGAAAAGTAGCTTAATGTTGATATACTAAAAGAAGTGTAACATGAGTTTTAAGTTTTTAACTTTTACAGTTTCCTGGAAATCTCCTGGGACAATATGTCCCAATCATATTGTCAACTGGGACTATTTGTCCCAATCGTCTAGATATTACCTTTTCTCAGAAAATAAAACTAAAATTTATGGTAATATACAATGTGAATATTACAAAACATAAGCTCTGTTACATGCATTAGTTCATATATAACAGAAATTTTCATATAAGTTTCATGAACACAAACATAATATATCAGCATGTAGTAATTTGATCATTGGTGGGACATATTAACTCACTGTTAAATACAATTGGGACAATATATATATCCCACAAAAAGAATTTATTCAAAATTTCTTAAATCTGACACTAAAAATGTTAAATTCCTACTTAATAAAAACTATTTCATACTAAGTAGGCCTAAAATATAATTGTACTTATGATAAAATTTTAAAAAATAGACAAATCAATACTAGAGTAATAAAGTGTGCTCAAAAACATATGTGTGCCATCTGCAATCTAAAAGTGTTGCCAGGTTTCCTTAGTTATATATTTATTCCCTAATCCCTTAAATACATTGCAAATGTAAAAACCCATTTAAAAGTGGGTTTTATTTACCCAACAGAGAATGAAATCTAATCTCTGGGATGTATGTGCCCATTAGGATCGAAAGGGTTAAGATGCCCGCAACAGCAATCTTCAAACCTAACATTACAGGTGCATTATCGGCACCAAGTGCTAAGCAATTATCCAGAGGAATTGAATTTTCTTTTAAAGTTTTAAAAATTAGCTGAGCTATATCAAAGCCTGTCGAATGTCCTCCTAAAGTGGGAATAAAAAGTATACTACATTCAATTACAATGGATTAAAAAAACAAACAACAACTGGACACAGTTTTGAATCGGTATTATTGCTTCCATCCGTACGGATGCAAAATGTAACTGTTTTAATGCAGTCAATAACTGAAGATTTATTTTTCATACCTATTTCTTTATCAATTGCAGCAGTTTTGCTCCTTGCACTTGAGTATTTCTAAGCAATTTCACTATTGGAAGATATTTTTCTAAATAAAGCTGCAGCACGATCCGATGCATTCAGTGGTAGGTTATGCTCAAGTAAAAAGGCAGAGAACAGACATTCGGCATTAATAACTTTTTGATCCTTTGTTTCCATAGTAAAATTTAATTTTTTGTTTTTTCAATAGAATTCATATTGTCCTTGTATTTTTGTGAGTGCACATGTTTGAGAACATCAGCCGTTCCACCATGCGAAATCGAAAAATCGTAGTGACAAACAGTACACATCGCAAATGTATTATATTTCCTTGAGGAAATAATAGAAGGAAAGTCATCTGTATCATTTTTGAAAACTACATGAGTATTTACCTTTTTTGCAGACACAACAAAAACAAAAGATCATAATTTCTTAAAGTAATTCTCGAAAGCACATGCACTCACACCGGCCAAGGACAGTATAAACGAAATAACAGCTTTGATCTTGGTTAGTGCTCATTGAATAATATATACCAGATGGCACACAGTGGTGCTTGATGCTAATTAGAGAACTGAAACACAATGTTTTTGAATATATGATCTCAATCACAAAGCAGAAGCGTGCCATAATTTTCCACTGATGAAACGAGTTCGGTTTTCTTTTAGATGTAATCTACAGAGAAATCAAGTGATGCCCAGAATCACTTTATTTGTGCAAACAACGAAGTGATAAGCCAAGATACATGAAATTCAAGAGAGTTTTTAAGAACAGAAAAAAGTCAGGAGAAAGCTGTTAAAAATTGGATTGGTGGGAGAACAGTCAGAAATCGGGACAGTTGGCAACTCTGCAATTATTTTGCCATTGCGGCGTCTAGAAAGCTGATTAACACACACCATGTATATCCTTGTTCTTTTAAATCAATCATTACTTCCTCAGGTTTAATATAAGTTGCCCCTGGTAGATTTCGAATGACTGATTTTATATGCTTCTGTTCTGGTAACTCAAAGTAGTGATATAGAGCTCCTTTATTGCTGAAAACTTTAATCATTTGACAGTATATTGCAAGCAGTTTCACCTATATTTTTATGCCATCTTTTATGTTTTGACCATAGCAGTCATGCACTGAAAGCTTTTGTTATTTAATAAAGTCCTAAGCTGATTCCGATTAAATTTTGAATCCTTAACCATAATGGAAGGTTGTTTACATCCATTAATGGCAGGTGTGCTCTGATTGGTCGAAGGTAGGGAAATAAATGTTTATATTTGGAACGGCTAAAATATAACTGCAGTGCTGTCTAGCCATCGCAACATTTTTGGACCCGTTTTACTATTATGCAGTTTCACCTCCTTCTTCATACTCTATGGTACAACAAAATAATAAACCATATAAACAATGCTAGAACAAAATTTTACGTAATATTTATGTAGTGCTATATCGTAAATATGAAAATGATGTTTCACAGAACTCATTATTAAAAAGCATTTCTGAAATAGAAAAATACTAAAAAAATTATGAAATAATAAAAAGCACTCTATATAAATATGCATTTCCATTAAAAAACCTCATAACTGCAGAATGCTCTCTATTACAAGACAACCTGAACCATATACAACATTAAGTACATTTACACAAAATTAATTACTTACTTCTGAAATATTTTTCTCAGATTCTCCAACGTAAGGTGAATATATCTGTGCAGGACTTGCTGCAAAAAAATTTGCATTGCATTCAGTAGCAAGTCCTCTTGCCAAAGTGGTTTTACAACAGCCAGGAGGGCCGAATAGTAATACACCTCTGGGACAAGGAAAATCAACTCTTTGAAATACTTCAGGATGACATAGTGGCCGTTCTATACACTAAAAAAAAATATAAATGAGAACAGATTTTAGTGACAAGGAAATGCATATGCATATATCTATATTAATTTTATTTAGTGTTGAACTTATACATATACCCTCCACTTTTCAAAAATCCAGTTTGCAAACTTTTTAGAGACATTTTAACATATAACATTTTAAGATATAACATATATCCATAAGATTCGAGGTTCAGTCTTGGTGCGTGAAGGTGAAGTTGCCCCTCGCTCCCCATTTTTTGATTTCCTTGATTTGTTTGCATTTTAGTCTTTGTGTTATATGTTTAATCAGATAGCCTGGCTCAGTAAAAGTAGGCGGCCAGTGCAAATCTGATTCAAAACTCCGGTTACGACCACGTGTGGTGCTGATAACAATCACGTGTTTCTGAGACTCCTTTGCCAATGCTTTATTTTTCTTCTTTTTCCCCTTTCTAGTAATTTTGTTCTCCTGTTGAGGAGAGACTTTTAGCTGCCCTTGAAATCGATTGAGTGTTTTAACATATTACGCTAAATACAAGGTTGTTATTGCGATTTTAATTGTCACATTGGCGTGTTTTTCTTCTATTCTAGTTTGTAATACAAGTATTAGCATCATTTCTAGCTGCTAATCAAAAGTCTGTGATATTAATTCCCAATAAAATTTGCAGTCCACTACATATCAGAGGAACTTTGTGGCCAGTTGAAAAGAATTCTGACAATCATTTGAATGGCCATATACTGATGCACTTCCAAAAAAACAAACTATAAGTAGTGCTTTGACAAAGTGACAAGCTAATGAGCAAACTAAAACCTGTAAATAGCCAAAATGCAAAGGAGTTGTCTATAAAAGAGAACTATTACTTCACAATAATGCATACTATTTATTGGTTGTGCATAGAGTTGATATACTCAAAGCTCTGAAATTTGAAATAATCAGATGTTTATCATACAAACTTCCCACAATCGAATTTTCTATTCTTTGGACCTTTGAAAAATATTTGTAATAGCAGAAGTTTATGTATGATAAGAGCATAATGGAGGCAGTATTCCTAAAAGTTAGTGTTTCGTTAAAGCTCCCACCACAAAGTGGGTTTTCTTTTTTTTTTTTTTTTTTTTTTTTTTTTTTAACGGGGATTTATAAGCTTGTGGGCAGGTGATAAAACTATGAACATATATCTGTACAATAAAGTGTATCAACATATAACTATACTTTATAATGTTAATTATCAACAAAATAGAATACTATTTAACTATACTCAATTTACATTTACATACTTGCCAACTTATGACACTCAAAAATCCGGAGATTTTTTTTAAGAAATCAGGAGATTTTTCACAATGTTAAAAAGACTTTTTAAATGATAAAAATATAATTTTTAATAATGAATTAACTTTAAATAGTAACTAATTCTTAAATGAAAGCAACACAAAAGTACCTTACACATAAAAAACATTTTTATTACTTGCATCGTTTAAGGAAACAACACAAACAAAAAAAAAAAAGAAAAAAGAAAGACACCTTAATCAGTTTTTGTACAAATGTTCTGAGCAGTGGCAGATTTTAATTTCGTTAAGAAAGAAACTTCATAATTTTGTACATAGCAATTGCCACGTAGGCCTGCTTTTGCTAATAAAAGTTTTTCTAATGTGTCATCACTAATATTAAATCTAAATTTAGTCCTCGTTTTTGCAACAACACTGAAAAATCCTCTCACACTCTGCATTACTATGGGGAACTGTCAAGATGGCCAACATAATTCTAGACAGTTCACTATATTTTAAAATTCCATCAGCATTAAGACACAATAACACGCCGAATAAATACTAATTCAGAAGTCAAACAACAAAAATCAGCGTTATAGCTACAAAATTTTCACAGACTAGTTTCGATGGTTTTACCGAACCAAAATTTGCGGTTTTGCAGCTGAAGATGATGGTTCGGTAAAACCATCGAAACTAGTCTGTGAAAATTTTGTAGGTATAACGCTGATTTTTGTTGTTTGACTTCTGAATTCCATCAGCATCTTTAAGTTTTCCAATTCCACTAGGTATCAATCCTAGCTGATTTTATAACTTCATCCAAGTTTTCTAATTGTAAACTGCTGTTATGCAGCTGTTGGAACTGTTTCAATTTTTCCTTCCTTTCAGAATTCCTTTCAAGATAATACAGTCAAAAGTCTTTAATCCGGACTCGTCGGGACTTCAGCAATTCCGGATTGTTGATCATCAATTTAAATCTGGTAAAATGGCATGCAGAAATTTTAAAATTAAAAATATGAAACAGTAATTTATGAAATAAAGAGCAATTATGATCTAAAGGGTATCAAAATTTACAAAAAAAAAAAAAAAAAAAAAAAAGCTTAATATTTATTTGTTTACTTTATTAAACATTTCTTTCAATGTGCACATGCGTAAAGCATACATTATGCATAGTCGAAATTAGAAAATTGCAACCAGAAAACTATTTGATGTGTACTCATGATATTTATAATGGCGAAGAATTTGATTTAAATCATATCAAAGACAGAGTACATCGAGATGAAATACTACATTTAGTAAGGAATTATAAGCCAAATAAAATAAAAACATCTGCCCTGAAGATAAGGATAGGGCTGACAGATCAACTTCTACTTCATTGCGCGCCGCAATGTCCCCCCCCCCGCAGAGCAGCGTGAAATTATGCGCAAGTTATTATGCGCGTGCATAAATGCATTATGCATTTACACATGCGCAGAAAGTTTGTAGCTTTGAAGTCCGGATTATAGATCATTCCAGATTATGGACGTCAGGATTAAAGACTTTTGACTGTAACAAATATCAACAACACGTTCATCCACATTTATTTGGTAATGAAGCTGACCCTTTTTCAGCTGCTAAATTTAAGAGGTGACAGGTGCACCTCATAATCTGCAAATCTGAATTTTCCTTTCTTAAGATGCCTGCAACACCAGTCTTCCCATGCCTACCAATACTGGTGCATTATCGGCACCAAGTGCTAAGCAATTATCCAGAGGGACTGCATATTCTTTTAAAGTTTTAATAATTAGCTGTGCTATATTAAAGCCTGTCAAATATCCTTCTAAAGTGGGAACAGAAAGTAAACTGCACTCAATTTCTGAAGACTCTGGATTAAAAAAAGAAACAACAATTGGAAACAGTTTTGAATCTGTATTATTGCTTCCATCCGTAGAGAGGCAGAACGGAGCTGTTTTAATGCAATCAATAAATGAAGATTTATTTTTCAAATTCATTTCTTTAACAATTGCACCTGTTTTGGTTCTTGCACTTGAGTATTTTTTAGTGATTTCACTATCGGGAAACATTTTTCTAAATAAAGCTGCAGTGTGAAATAACTTTTTGGTCCTTTGTTTTCGAAGAAAAGTTTAATTTTTTGTTTTTTTCAAAACAACTCATGTTGTCCTTGTGTTTTGTGTACGCACAGGTTTGAGAACATCTGCCCTTCCACCACGCGAAATCGAAAAATCGCAATGACAGACGGTACACATCGCAAATTTATTACATTTCCTTGAGAAAATAATGGAAGGAAAGTCAACTGTGTACGATTTTTGAATATTTCACCTTTCTCGCAGACATAACAAAAGATGATAATTTCTAAAATTAATTCCCGAAGGCACGTGTACTCACACAACTCAGGACAAGATGAACAAAATAACTAAAGAACATCCAAATAACAGCTTGCTTTGTGCTCATTCGCTAATATATGCCGGATGACACACAGTGGAGCTCGATGCCCATTGGAGAACTGGAGAACGACGTTTCTGGATATGTACAATCAAAAGTCGTTAATCGGCGATTCCGGATTATAGATCATCAGTTTAAATCTGGTAAGATGGCATGCAGAAATTAAAAAATTAAAAATATGAAACCGTAATTTATGAAATAAAGAACAATTATGATCTAAAGAGTATCAAAATTTACAAAAAAAAAAAAAAAAAAAAAAAAAAAAGCTTAATATTTATTTGTTTACTTTATTAAACATTTCTTTCAATGCAAGTTGTTTAAGTTGCTTCATTTTATGTGATAATACTTTCTCTTTAATTCTATAAACAGACATAACTTCTTCTTCAGTTACAAAGTTCCGCTGTTCAAGTCCTATAATTGCTGTGTCGAGAATACCGATTAATTTGTCAATCGAAATTTTTTCGTTTTCAATAACCTCTGTGTCACTTTCTTCCCTATCGGAAGCAAATTATGACGAGGAATTTGATTTAAATCATATCAAAGACGGAGTACATCGAGATGAAATACTACATTTAGTAAGGAATTATAAGCCAAATAAAATAAAAACATCTGCCCTGAAGATAAGGATAGTGCTGACAGATCAACTTCCAATTCATTGCCCCCCGCCGCAGAGCAGCGTGAAATTGATAAAGAGATTTCGGAATGGTTAGAGAAACGAAGCCTTTATCCATTTTTTGCAGCAATTCCACTTTTTATTTAATGGACTTCGAAACATATTTTCGCTTTGTAGATCCTTTACACATTAGTAAATATATATCGGAAATTCTATTTGACATAATCGAAAGTTCAAGCTTACTTTTATAAAATTGCTCTAACAGTCTGCAAAAAATAATAAGCCGGATCCAATTCGAAGATTAAGGAACAACGCAATCTGCAACATTAACCGAATTAGATAATTTTAGCTTAGCTTATACCGTCTGTTATACATTAAATGAACATGCGTAAACATATTATGCGCATGCGCACACACATATTCACAACCGTAAAGGTCTTACGCGCATGCGTCGACAAGACGCATGCGCAGAAAGTTTGTAGCTTTGAGGTCCGGATTATGGGTGTCCGAATTAACGACTTTTGACTGTATATGCTCTCACTCACAAAGCAGTTCTCATCTGGTTCGCAAGGTTTTGTTTTAGATATAATCTACAGAAAATTAAATTGCTTTCAGATGTCCAAAATCACTTTTTTTTTTTTTTTTTGTTGTTGTTCATATAACAAAGTATTCAGCCAAGTTCCATAAAAATCGTGAGAAATTTTAAGAATAAGAAAATGTCACAAGAAACATATTGTAAATCGAGTTGGCAGAAGAGTGGTCGAAAATTGGGAGTCTCCCGCCTAAATCGGGAGAGTTGAGAGTTGGCAACTGTGTATTTTACTATACTCTTCTACAATTTTGCATTTTTTACTATTAATTTCCATCAGAAAGAAATATTTCAATTTAATGATAATTGCCTCAAAGGCTCTGAAGAAAATAAAGTGATAAAAATTAAAAATACCATTATCAAAACAAATCAGATAATGTAATTACAGGATATTTAATTAATAAAGAAACAACGAAAGAGAGCACAGCAAATAATTTCACAAAATACATCAGCATCTTTGTATTAAATACACTAAAAAAATATGGCAATAAAATGTGTAAAACATTCAAAGGATCCTAGTACTCATAAATAATTAGCATGTATTGTTCCTATTGCAATATTTAATTTACTTAACTCAGTTTTAAAAACTTGGTTAAAATGTCAAAATGTCAGTATGGTTCTTTTCTGTTTCTAAACAATATATATATATATATATACTATATAAACAATTTTAGCATATCATTAAAATGTTCTTTTTCTTTTTTTGGAAGAAATATATAATTTTTTCACATTTAAAATATGATAATATGCATCATAATAAATGGTTAAGCCCTTTTTCCTTCTAAAATCTCAGTTTGTCTTTTAATAGAGACAAATTATAATTTTTAAATACCATTTGTAGTCTTTCTTTTATTTTCTTCATGCCTCCAATATCTTTCCAGTGTATGGGCTTGACTTTCAGATTCCACTGTGACACTTTCAGAACAGATGGTGAAAGGGAAATTGTAGCATTTATAAAATCCTTAGTACTTAATGTCTCTAAATCTGCATTCTATAAAAAACATTAAAAAAAAAATCTTTAAAAAAAATTTTTTTGGTAATTACATATCTCATCAACCGCGAATGTTGGGTACCACTGAACCACTGAAGTTGTCCAAGATCATGCCAAAGTTATGCCAACATTTCTGCAAAATTCTGGAGGAACCGGCGTTTCTTTATTTAATAAATAATGAGTATTCAAACCACTTTTTTAATGTTTTGTAGAAGGCTTTGATTTCTACTATATTGTTGGGCCCTCCGATTTTACTGGAAGTTCTGCTCAGAATGCAAAGAGTACGAACTTTCCATGGGTAATTGCTCCAGTCTTTTACTGCTGAGTCAGTCATATTCAGCCGACCATATCTTAACCATTTGATGGTAAGATACCACTACTTTGAAAATAATCTACTGCATCTCCTTTTACAGAATGCAGGTCCCAAATTTCAAAATGCAAGAAAAATACAAAAACAATTAACTTGCATGCTTATATATAAAAATGAAACATGGATTTTATCAAGAAGCAATGGGGTGTAACACCAAATGAAAATACAGATGTTATGAGCATGTTGTTATGTTACACTTATCAATAATTGTTGCTAAATTGCACTGCTTAACAACAGTTTCATAGTAGATGGGATAATTAGTATTTAACCAAATTTTCATAACTACATCAGATACAAAGAATTATTTGGTAATTTCTGATTATCTGCACATCTTATAAAAGCATTTATGAGGCAATATGATATGTCGCCAAAACAGGCAACTCATGACATCTGCAAACTGTAGTTATGAGGCAACCCAGTTATACAGTACAAAGTCCGAAATCCGGACTCATCAGGACTTTGGCAATTCCGGGTTTGAGATTTTTCCAGATATTAGATCATCAGTTTAACCTTTTGAGGTTCGGCGCATAAAAAAATGTTTTTTAAAAAAATAACTTTACACATAGATAACTAGCCCCTAATACAATGTTATTTCATGCCAAAAAAATAGGTAAAACCTTTAAGGTAATTCATGACAGGGTGGGATATCGCTTGTCCCACCACACACCTAGAGCAGTAAAATGGCATCTTTGCCTCAGAATAAATTCTCCTAACATTCTTATCTAAGGTGCTAGTTTTAGCAACCAGATAACAATGCAAGATATAAAAAAAATGTTTTTGAATAATTATCTAGAAAATATTGATCATACTCGCAAAATAAAAACTATTTTTTCAAAAAAATTACATAATTTTAAAAAAATCGCTCTCTGTACGACATTTTAGATATTTTTTAATGATTTCTTAATAGATTTGAAACGGAGAAGATTTTCGCTCTAGTACTTTATTTGCTACAGGTTTGAAAATGAAGGTATTTATAACGCCATCATGTTTATTTAAATTTTTCCTCTCTTTTCTCTGCTTAGGATATTTTTCTATGGTGAATCACGCTCACATATCATTCAGTATTCAACGGCATTTTATGTTACAGAGTTATATTTTCATTTCTTTCGAATAAAATATTAAATATTTTTCAAGTTTTAACATTATTGCAATTTATTAAAAAATATAAATTTGCATCATCAACATATAAAACAAACATGATACTTGAATTTAAAAATATTTGAATGGTGCTGCCATCTATTAGCAGCAGTTCCTACATGCACAGTGGGACGTATTTGGTCCCACCTTTTAATTTCAACTTTTCTTAATCAATATATATGAATTGAAATAACATTTTTTTTTTTTTTTTTTTTTTTAGAAAAGGAAACTTTCGCATAAAAATATTCAATTCAACACCAAAAGTTTTTGTTCAGATGATTTAAATTGCATTAGAAATAAATAAAAAAAACTGCTTCAAAATTAGACCTGCAAAGAATTTTTATTTTACATTATTTCCATGAATGAATACTAGAGCTGCCATCTGTTATGCATTTAGAGAATTAAAAGTTGTAATCATATGTATTTTAAACAGAATTTTGCAGCTTTCGTCTGGGGGATAAAAACTGATAAAAAAAGGTGGGACGTCTACCGCCCGTCAAAGGGTTAAAGCTTGTAAGATGGCATGTAAAAAATATAAAATTAAAAGTATGAAATTGGGATTTATGAAATAATGAAGCATTTATAATCTAAAGGGTAACAAAATTTACAAAAACCAAAGCTTAACCTCTTAACTGCCAGAGAAAACATAGAAGATTAACTCTCCAGTGCCACCGTTTTTCACACAGGCGATGTATTGGGGGGAAAATAACTGCAAGTTTTACTTTCTAAAAATTGTTTACTTTTACAAAATAAAGAATAAAAAAATTAAAGCACAAAATTTAATGCTTAGTATAAAAGTATATTGAAACTGAGTTTTGCATAATAAAAAAGATCCCCAAAATGGAGCTTGGATCAATTTATTTTTAGACCAGTAAAGTGTAATATCAGGTTTCAGTGTTATACCTTGTGAAATTAGTACAGTCAAAAGTCGTTAATCCAGACTCGTCGGGACTTCGGCAATTCCGGATTATCGATTTTTCCGGATTATAGATCATCAGTTTAAATCTGCTAAGATGGCATGCAGAAATTATAAAATTCAAAATATGAAACAGTAATTTATGAAATAAAGAACAATTATGATCTAAAGGGTATCAAAATTTACAAAAAAAAAATATATTTATTTGTTTACTTTATTAAACATTTCTTTCAATGTAAGTTGCTTCGTTTCATGTGATAATACTTTAATTCTATAAACAGACATAATTTCTTGTTCAGTTACAAAGTTATGCTGTTCAAGTTCTATAATTGCTGTGTCGAGAATACCAACTAATTTGTCAATCAAAATCTTTTCGTTTTCAATAACCTCTGTGTCACTTTCTTCACTATCGGAAGCGAATTATAATGATGAGGAATTTGATTTAAATCATATCAAAGACGAGGTACATTGAGATGAAATACTGCATTTAGTAAGGAATTATAAGCCAAATAAAATAAAAACATCTGCCCTGAAGATAAGGATAGTGTTGACAGGTCAACTTCCAATTCATTGCGCGCTGCTACATTCCCCCCAAACACACACACACCGCAGAGCAGCATAAAATTGATAAACAGATTTCAGAATGGTTAGAGAAACAAAGGATATGCCTTTATCCATTTATTCCACTTTTTGTTTGATGGACATTGAAACATGCTTTGGCTTTGTAGATCCTTTGGTAGCTCCAGAATTGGAAATTCTTTTTGACATAATCGAAAGTTCAAGCTTACTTTTATAAAATTGCTTTAGCAGTCTGCAAAAAATAATAAGCTGGATCCAATTTGAAGATTAAGGAACAACGCAATCTGCAACATTAACTGAAATAGATAATTAGATAATTTTAGCTTAGCTTATACCGTCCGTTATACATTAAACACACATGCGTAAACGCATTATGCGCATGCGCACACGCATATGCAAATACGTAAGAGTATTATGCACATGCATGAATGCATTATGCATTGACGCATGCACAGAGAGTTTGTAGCTTTGATGTCCGGATTATAGATCATTCCAGATTACGGGTGTCCGGATTAACGACTTTTGACTGTATTTACATTTCAGTGCGTTCACTATTCCAATATCCATAGGCTGATATACAATTTGGAGGAAAGAATAATAAGGATACATTATCTTTCCATACAACTTTATGTGAAGTATGAGCCGAACAGTTGTATACAATCAGGACAAATTTTGCACGATCAGTTAAACCAACCAAATTTTCTTGAGCTTCTGGTATGAAATAATTTTCAAACCAAGCATTCATTAACACTTGTCATGCCTAGTCTCTTATTTGCACGATATATAACGAGAAACATTTTACTCCTTTAAATGCTTGAGGTCGTGCATCTTTTCCGATTATGAAAAGTTTACATTTGTGTGTTCCTGCCGCATTTGCGCATGCTAAAATTGTTAGTCTCACTTTGGAATCTGAGACACAAGTTGGAGCCTTTTCTACAGAGGCTGCCAAGGTATTTTGTGGTACATATTGCCAGAAAAGACCAGTTTCATCAGCATTGTAAATTTGTTCTGGAGGTAACTTTTAACTATTAATGAGTTCAATGAATTCATAAACAAATAGTTCAGCAGCTTCAGTATCAGCTAAAGCTCTTTTACCTGAAATTCTTTATTGCCTTACATAATGTTGATTTTTAACCAACCTGTTGAATGTGTGCACTTAGTTCTTAAGTTAATTTATTAGTGAAATATCTTAGCTTGTGTCATTAACATTGGACCTGTCAATGACGCCCTCGCTGCGAAGCTGTCTGAATCATTTTATTACCACTTTGTCATGATCTCCACTTTTAGCATAACGAATAATTTTTCTGTTATTCGTTGCAAGCGGGGTGTTAGAATCCACAAAAATTCAAAAAGTTCTTTTTCTGTTTTTTTATGTTATATACAGTTGACTTTCCAATCCCATACTCCTCACATAATTTTTCAGACGGATATACCTTTATCCATGTTTTGCAACAATTCCACTTTTTGATAATGGACATCGAAACATGCTTTCACTTTGCAGATCCTGTTGCAGCTCCAGAATTAGAAACTCTTTTTGACATGATAAAAGGTTCAAACTTTAATTTCATCTAATTGCTGTAATAAAAACAGCCTGCAAAAAGAAATTAAGCTGGGCCTAATCAGAAAGTTAAGGAACAGCGAAATCTGCTACATTGGCTGAAATTCCTTGGAATCAGTAAAGTATATGTTTAGCCTAGCTTAATAGCATCCGCTATATGGCTATGTATCATGAGAATAGCGATGAAAGACAAATTGTTCCACTAAATTGTATCTTGCTTCTATCGTGCACTGAGACAATTAAGCTTGATTGTATTAGTTACTTATAATACTAGCGTCTAATTCTTGCACACGCTTAAGGCATATCTGAATCCTGAATAAATAAATTTCCATATTTTCTTAATACCAATTCTATACTTTTGGAGGGCCAGTGCCAGATATCTTACCCCCTGAGCTCTGGGTGTCCTAAATTCTGCTACCAAGTGCCTGCCTAAGTTCTAAATTTTTGCCACCCCTAAATTTTGGATCACAGTGCTTTTCCTAAATTTTAAAAATATTTCCATCCTTTAATTTTGTTATTTGGTGCTTCTCTAAAATCTAAAAATCTTATCTTCCCTGAATTTTGCCGCCTGGTGCGGTCATACAAGCTCTGGCACTGTTTCTGGGTTTATGTGAAAAACAAATCAGTTATTCTTAATTCAAATAGTCCTAAATGTAATCTTTCGACCTATGAGTATCATTAACAAAATCTATTTTCTTTATTTAGCATATGGAAAGAAAATTTTGTTAAAAGTTTTCCTCGTCAATATTTCTTAGCACATTTAACTTAAAAAATGTGTAATCATT